AGCATTATAAAAATAACAATTTATTATACAAGCATTGTTAGATAGTACAGTACAGTTGCTGCGTTATCATGTCAAAGCATTCCATCATCAGACAATACATACAGTTTACTGTTGACTATCTCAGACTGCATTCATTAAACTGATTACTAGACAGAGAGATCGAGTTAAGACAGTGAGACTGAAATTGCAATAGCTCTTTGATACATAGAGATGAGCCGCATGCTAACTTTGTGCTCATTGTTTCAAGGGAAAAATCCACCCTGCCCGCTCATTAACGTTAAGAGAGAGGTCACAAAGAGCTGTCATCCAAACAAAAGTTCAGCGTCCTGGCTTTGGTTTGAGCTGAGGATTTTTGAACCAGTGTCTGCATAATAATTCAGAAGCACGATGGCTGTCCTGATGCTCCGTTTCTCTCTCCGACAGTAGTGAGGGTTTCCAAGGTGAGAGTCCTGGTCCGCTTTGTGCATTCAGGTCAGGACAGTTGGATATGTTGAGTGAGCCGCAAGCTGAACCTTCTGTCCCACAGATAATATTGCAGTAACCGTCTTTGTGTTGGTGTGTGTGGAATCATCAAGGTGACGCCGAAGTGTGTCCGTTGTAGGAGACCTGAGGAATGCCGTTACTGGAGTTGTCAAGGACCTCCTGAAAAGGACATACAGAGGAATATTTGACACTTCTCCCCTTAAAGGCATTTAAAGAGTGTTTTGTCTTCTTTCAGGACTCTAGTCTTACCTTCTCGGTCATCTCATGCGAATGGTGCAGCGAGTGCTCCCTCTCCATGAACATCCTCTGCTGCTCAGAGCTGGCCAGTCGACAGGTAAGCCATGTGGATAAGGTACAGGTTGAGATCCCTGGAAAAGACAGGATGTTTTTAGAATAAATTCACAGTTCCCAGAGGAACATTTCTTCAAGCTCCGGTAACCCCTGTCGTTTTACTTTTCCTCTTGAAGGAAAATGAGAATATATTCAACAAGCACGATAGCTGTCCTAATGCTCTGAGTATATTTCATATTTCATTAGTGAAACATGTCTGCGACAATGCACCACTGTGTCTTTTAGAAAGTACATTTTCAAATCCTAAGTTCAGAGTGGACATATGATTTCCCAGACTTGCAAGTGTGAATGCACCTTCTATATTTGCTCAGGATGCAGAGTGTTAGTCAGAATTTAAGATGCAGAACTAGCCTAGTTAAGACGACACAAGTAGACAGATGCCAGGGAAATTTGTAGACTTTAACTTAATGTTACAAAAAAGTTTTTCAGACTTTTTGTCTTGAAACACTGTAAGTGGGTCTGGTATATGTATAAGTGTAATTTTATGAAAAAGTATCTCATGTTCCCTGTTATATGCAGTAGAAGATCAATGATGCTGTGGGCCTGTGTTTATGACACAATTTAAAGGTCATTTTACCTTGAGCATCAAAACCAAGGTTCTGTGCCTGTTCCACTCATTTTTATCAACTATATTCTCACATCCACTAGTGCTATGGACTCTTCTTTTATGCTTTTGCTGATGACATCCAGATATTCAATATCTGCAGGTAGAAGGTCAACCTTCTATCTGCATTGCGATGTGCAACACTTTGAACTGCTTTGCTGCTGAAATGTCACATACAAATTAACTTGATTGATCGCACAATCTTAAACTAATACCTTTAGAAAGGTACCAGTCAGGAGAAGAATACATAAAAGCCACAATGAAATCTCTGGGGTCACACAAGGCGGGCTGTGGATAAGAGACGTCCTCACAATCTGAGAGATCCGAGAGTGTTTGCATGGTAGAGAGGACAAATGTGTCCAAATCAAGATGTGGGATGTTGATAGACATCTGAAGAAAGGAGTGCATCTGAGAACATTGAGGACTCTGGAAATGTTAAAGCTCCACTCTTGTGAAATGCTATAGAAAAAAGTATAAGCATTTGATCTCTTAGAAACAGGGGATTGCGCAATGTTTTGACAGCTAGTTTGCCAACAGTTATTTCCTAAAGTGATCTACAATCACCACAACATAAATTTGTTAAAAATAGCAGTTGACATTAAGGTTACTCCTTTCAGTATTCTAACTTAAATCTGTTTACAAAACTTTTACCACAGGTTCCAATAAATGAGGGCACTTTAATTTCTTGTGCGATAGTTTACAGCCGTGCACACGTCTATTGTTGCAGACATTAACACCTCTTTGCCAGTTGCCTTCCATTGCATCATAACATGTGTCATGCAGTTTCTGTTTTTTTTTTTTTTTTTTTTTACCCAGACAAGCCAGTGTCATGGCAGCCAGGTGAATCGATTGCAATGAGTTTGGCCGTTTGTTCAGCGCCCGAACAAACTGGAAGTTGAGAATCCCGGCGATCAGGCCGCAGATGCAGCACGCTGAGAAGAGGATCATCTGGAAAACACAGAGACGCATAAAGATTCATTTTCGTGCCACTTAATTGATATCATCTGAGCAGAACGATCACTAAAGGAGCTGTGATCTGAATTATTTCCCCATCCTAGACAATGGCCATGGTGACGAGTGATGCAAATCAGACAAAATAAATGCCATTTCTCATTGGAAAATTGGATTTCTATCACAGCAGATTGTATCTTCCAGACATATTGCATCGGTTGTGAATAGGCTTACATCACCTGCTGGCTGTGTTTGTGGATGAGGGGGCCTTGATGTTTGTTGGTTGGATTTCATTGTGAGTGTTGTCATATCAATCACTTCATATGGACGAACCCAGATTGAACTTTGATAGGCCAAAGCAAAACTTCAATCCCATTTGAGATAGATATTTTCCCAAGACTCCAACTGGGAAATGATTGTATCTCCATTACTCTGCTTTCAGAACAACACACTCATACTTTCCATTGATTTAGAATGCATGTGTGTGTTTGTTTTGCTTCTGCACTGCAGGTATTGTCTCATAGCTCCCGGTACAGATGCCGTTAGTGCCTTTAATCGCATGCAAAAGGGCGTCTCGGATTTCAGTCATTACCCAGAGAAGTGTGGAAATCGGCTGGCAGGGGTCCGGAGCCAAACCGAGCTAATGCAATCATCACCCCACAGGCAGGGAGGAAGAGGGAGGGAGTAATGGAGGAAGATGAAAAGGGGAAGACGGAGGGAGCGGGGGACACCGAATTGACAGAAACGATGTGACATAATAGGGGAGGAAGAAAGACATATTGGAGCGAGGAACAGGAGAGATATGAAGAGAAAGACAAAAGCTCCGGACAGACAGGGTGAGACACAGAGATGTCTCAGTTGCAGCAGATCGGACTGACATTGATCCATCATTATTGCATTGCCTGCAGGAGACGGAGTCAAAGAGGAGCACAAGGACTTGGAGACACACTGGCTGTAAAAAAGAGAAGAGGTTGAAAGAGTGACAGGAAGAGAAGAGAGGTGACTGCTTGCCTCCTCTGATTTCCTCAGATATCAGAACACTCTGTGTGTGTTTTAAAGACTCTGTGTGCTTTAAATACAGTTATATACACAATATATTCAATACATTTTAAAATTTGTTTTGATGAGAGCTTTCTTGGTCAAATTAAACACACATTTTTCTAAATAACAACCTTTAAGCTGGTATCACATATACTTTTCATTTAGCACCCAGACTTCTGCACTAGAAATGCTTTGTTTTTAATGAATGTTCTTATTATTCTATCATAATTAACAGATATAATGACTTGAAAGCATCAGTTTGTGTGTAATTTATCAGTATGTCAGTGAATTTAGTGACTTAATTTAGCTTTTCAATAACTTCTAAATTTATTGATTGCATATTTTAACATATATGAGCCTTATGTAATTATGAAAAGGGATACGCATCTCAAAATTAGGACAACTATTTTATGAGCACAATTAATCCATAAATCCTTCCTCATGGAGCTTTAAGAGACCTCCGTCTTAAACCAGCTGAAAACCTTCTGAGTGCATGTCTTGTCCGGATTTGTGAGTTTTGCAGATTCATACGACACGTTTTCTGTTCCCAGAGGAATGGAGTAAAAAGAAACATGTGCATCCCTGGCACATGTTCAGCGGGCTATTTTCAGGAGCGGTCCATCAGAATGAGAAATGAGTTGACATGTTGGGAATCCGAACAATTCAGTGTGTTTGAGTCAGAACTGCCAGAGATCCCAGTGTTTATCTTACCGGACGGGATTTCATCTGACATTGAGGTGTCAGGGGTCAAACCTGCTTGACGCCAGGAATCCCTTCAGTAATCCACGGGGCCTTTTGTGCAAATTAAATAAGCAGCATTTCACAAAAAATAGTTGTGGGTTTTGAAATAAGGTTTGAAGAAGAGTCACTCAAACTGACTGGTTTCTGCCGCGCATGCACACTGTGCATGAACCGTGCATGGCCTTTTGATGAGTTTTGTCTTGTGTTGGAACAAGAAAAAGCTTTTGTCATATTTAGGTCACAATCTAGAGGACAGAACAAAAAAAAAAAAAAAAAGAAGTTAATGGGTCTTTGTGGGACAACTTTACAGCACTTACAATAAGACCTGTCCTCTTCCAAGCACACAGCACTCCGCAGATCCCACAGAGCAGAAACTGGGAAAAAAAGAAAAAGAAGAAGCAAAATCTTAATTAACGCCACTAAAATTTGTATCAAACTCTGCATGTGTAAAATTACTCTTTGTGATATTTTGTGGTTTTTACTCCTTTCCCCCCCAAATCCTGAAAACAGGAAAGGAAATCCCTCTCTTTACTCGCATGTATTTTGTTTCTCCTGATTTAGTTTTCTCTTCAAAGAATGGAAACATTTAGAGACCTGGCGGGAAGCCCCCCCAGCAGGAGCCTGGTGAGTGAATGTTGAAGAGGTCAAGCATCTTAGTGTGTTTCTCCCAAACGGTGGCAGGATGGTGCAGGAGATGGAAACACAGAATAGGGATTTGTCAGCAGGAAGTTGAACTCTGCTCCAAGTTATTGTAATAAAAAATCAGCAGAGCCATAAAGCTAAGCTCTTTTATTCACTGTCCTATCTATAGCCAAATGAGCAAGATCTTGGATACAAGCAGATGACTAGAGGTGAAATTGGAGGAAGTAAGAATAGGACCACTCTGCACTGAAAAGAGTCAGCCGAGGTGGTTCTGGTATCTGATCAGCATTCCTCATGGGGGCCTCTCTCTGGAGGTTTTCCAAAGTAAAGTCCACCCTTCATTTTCAGTCACAAAAATGTGCAGGAAGAGTTTATCCCTTTGGATTCCCTTCTGCCCAGGGAACATCTAAACCCTACAATGAGCTGGAGACGGTTGCCCAGGAGATGGATGTCTCTGTGTTTTGCTCCAGGACCTTAAATGGACAACAGTAACTGTATGGATGGAGTGTTTCAGTACCACAATATGTAAAAGCAGTCTTTAAAATGAGAACAACTATTCTATAAGGAAAAGACATATAGACCAATGAAATGGTGCCACACTATCTGGCATTTTCAACTATTTTTATAAAATCAATTCAACAGATGCATCTCTGCAACTTAACTTTGTCTACATTGTCAAAGTATACTAATTTTGCTACCAGTAATCTCCTGGAGAATAGATATGACTTTACATTTTGGCCTGCTCTCCAAAATGGGTCCAACAAGAAGAAAAAACCCCCAACAACATTCAAATAAAGCAAATGTGCGCTGATCTACTTTAGCTGGAAAATGATTACAAGAAAATATCTGCTCACCCAAAGCTACGGTCAGCGCAGTAATCAGAAGCTCATGGAACTTTGCCAAGCAAAGCCTGATGGAACTCCAAGTTTATCCTGCCACCATGCACAATGAGGGAAATGATGGTAAAAGGGGGGAAAGAATTATCCTGCCCAACAATGAGGAAATGATGGGTTAGAGAGGTAGAGCAAAGAGTGACGTCTTGGGGCAATTTCATTTGTTTTAAGGATTTTATACACATGTTTACCAGGGAGGCCTGTTCAGGTGGAGAGTGACGGGGTTTCAGCAGGAATCTTCCCCTGAAATCCTGGATAATCACTTTTTTTTTTTCAGTCAAATCAGTCAATCAATCTCCAGGATGACTGACTCACCAGACAGCTGTAGCTCTTGAACACATGTGTCACATTGCACAACATGTCCATCATGTAAAGTACTGCAGAGGTATGCACACTGACCTCCCTGCCTGCAAGCATTCAATCATTAGTTATCTTTTTCTTCTTCCTTTTTTGATTCATAGCAACAAATTTGACCTTAATAGACTATTAGAATCTCTGGACCGAGTTGTCCTGATAAAACGAACGCACTCGTTTTAACTGCAAGGGTCAGCAATTAATAGACAGGTGATGTTTCCTTGGCTGGAGCAGCGCCGCGTTGATGTCTGTAAACTACTGGGAGTTTGTCTGAAACCAAACTTTTTACAGACCAGCAGTGGCGCTGAGGGTAATGCGGGTAACAAGAGGAGACGTTCACAGAGGCCTGGGAGCATGATTGGCTGTAAAAGGTTTGACCCTCTGAAGCGCTGAGGACCAAGTCAAGCATGAATTAATAAAACCAATCTTTAGCTTCAGAGAAGGAGGCTAAATGGTTGCGGGAGTGCATCTTTGACAGTATGGTCAAAAAAGCACATGCATTTTTTTTCTTATTCTTTTTAAAACAACACTAAGGATGGAGTTATTACATACCAATAGAAAGTTTTAACATTTGCATGTATATTAGTTGTTTTAATTAATTCATTTTTTTATTTGTTTAAGTTTATAATTTTTTCTGCTTACTTCTGTTTCATTTTAGTGTTTGCAAGTTTTAGCATTTAACCATGTCCATTAAGAATCTATTATATTCACAATAAAGCCAGCGAGCTGTTCAAAGCCTTTTTGTTTAAACAGTTAGACTCCACATTTAAATTACATTTGCTTTCAAATTTGAGCCAAAAAAGTGATTTTAATACGTCTTTTTTTCTTTTTTTCTTTTTTTTCTAGAAAGGCAAATAGTTGGAACCTTCCACGCTTTCCGCGGGCGCGTGTACTTATCCACTCTGGAAGTGAACAACAGAGAAAGTGAGGGCAGCCGTCCACGTACACAGAGTCCACTCCACACCGGAGACGCGTCGCCCTGCTGAGGCGGGTGTTCCCCGCGCACCCAGACAATGCCCACCGCTCCCAAGACGATGCTCGCCACACCCAGGCCCACCTCCACCAAGGAGAGCAGGAGCAGGCTCCACAGGATCTTGCGGCTGGAGCACATCCTCCCCCGGGCATCTCTCCAGCTCCGGAGGGAGGAGGCGAGCACGCGGCGAGAGAGGAGCCCGCTTCTCGGCGTTCCGAAGGCGGCGTGGCTCCGCTCGTTCGCGTGTCCGGCGGGGGAGGCGAAGGGGCTGAGTCGCTAATGTCGGTCCACGCGGCACGGAAAGTCGTAGAGGAACTTGTGAGCGAGAAGCGGCGAACTCTCAAAAAAACTATTCAAAGAAGAAGAGACATCCTCTGAGTTCAAATGTTTGCACAAATAGCACACGGTCGGCGGAAGTTCGCCCCCCTCCCTCCTCCCGGTTTTCACAGATGTGTCTGAGGCGCCGAGCGGAGCGCTGTCCAAGGTACTTCTGAAGAGCCAGCGCGAGCGCGCACGGGGACGCGCGCGCACGCACATCGACACGCGAGACATATTTCTGTTTTCACAGGTGAACACAAAGCAGGAACCTCCGTAAAGAAGATTTAAAGGATCTCAGTCTCTGCCTCATTGAGAACCAAAGCAGTCATTTAAAATTTTTTCATCTTTTTCGCAACTTCACCGAGAAACTATTAAAGTTTGCAAACAAAGCGCCTTTTAGCATTTAATTTAGCATAAACTTTATTGTCGTGTCATGAACAGGTGACGTGATTTTGTGGTTTGAAGCAGAGCTTTCTGTTCACTGAAAAGGTGTGATTGCATTGAACTCATAGTTGATCAATATTTTTGTACTTCAGGAAATTAATGTTTGTAGATTTTTTTTAAACATATTTTAATGAATTGGTTTGAACATAATGCAGCTCCTCACATGTTTCATAAAAGTCCAAATAATCCCTTAATTCATTTAATATTTTTATGTTAATTTAAACTCACAATAAGCACATCTTTTTACCCCCCTCAAAATTCAGACCCTGGTATCATAGACTTGTGACTCCAAGAAACTTGTGAACAAAGCGACTGATTGTGTGTTCAAGGGAGTGTGCAAACCAAACAATGATAAGTTGACAGCACAGCAAAAAGCATTTAACATGAGCTACATCTCAGATTTGTGTGTAAAAAGAGACATGTTTATTCCTTCACTCTAGAACGACAAAAGATCAACTCACACTGATCTTTTATGATCACTGTGAGTGATCACTGCTGAGGAAAGTGACCACTGCACCACCCTGAATCAACAGTGTGCATCCTGTCTCTCCATAAATGTGGTGCCATATCTCTTAAGCACAGAGGGATAACAAGGAGTCCAAATCAAGTGGGTTCAGCTTGCAGATATTACTGGTTAACTATGAGGATTAACTTGGCAGCGTTCATTTTTAAAATGGGGGAAGATGGAAAGATTCCCCAAGCAGAAGGGAATTGAAACAGTACAGTTCTTTGTTGAAACACAAACTTTTCAGTTCATTCTTTCAAGTAAAAAATGCTGTCATGTTTTGTGCCTTGTTTCTTTTACATATGTATGTTCATGTTAGGGCTGCAGGAGTTATCTAAGGTGAATATGAAACAGCGTGGTATAAAATGAAACATATATCACAGGAGAATAAGCTTCAGATTGGAGTCCACCTTAAGGTGGCTTGTGCACAGCTCAGCTTTTTCTTTGAAGAAAAGTGACACAGAGGTCGTTGAAGTACGATGACGTGTTATGGAACGTTTTATGGAAATAGTTGTGGGACTCGGTTGCTTTTAATCCACAAAAATCTTTAAGACAAATTATGATGTAAAAAACAAAACAAACAGAAAAAGAACTTGTTTAAACTTGGACATTTTAATTTGGAGCTCATGTCTAAATTGATTAGATGTCTTTTGTTGGAGTTCCTGTGTGCAGATGTTCCCATGGTTGCCGAAGTAACACAAATCAATCATAAATTAAAATAAATCATTTTGTAAAGTCCTAAATTTGGCATAAACATTCCGCCTTGTTTGTCAAGAGCTTGATTTATTGCAGCAGCTCCGACAGTAACTTGCTGCTGGCTGGAACAAGACGCCGCCTGTGAAGTGCAGCTTCAAATCAATTGCAGACTTGAAGAATCTCTAGAGTTTTCTCTTTGCTTCCATCAATTGACTCATTGTTCCATCTCTTCTCTCTCATCTGTGCTTTGTTGTAAAAACTAATAGATCTTGATCTCAGCTGTATTTCCTGTTATGGGCTGTTGTGTTGAGGCGGTCAGTGTTGATCTTTTTGCGTGGGTGACCTAATCCATGAGCTCATTCAGATCTTCATCTGGTTATGAAGTCATAAATATCCGAATGCTCCTCTTAGCTATTTTGCCTTTCATGCACATCCAGATGTCCGTGTTTGTTTGGGGTTGTATTTAGTTAAATAAAGGAAGTGAATGATTTCAGAGCGGTACTTCATATTTTGTTTCTCTTTAGTGAAATATAATATGCAACCCTTGACAGCAATAGCAAAAATATAAAAATAAAAAAAATCACAATTGACCTCAGCACTGATTTTCAAAGCAGATTAGCATTTGCAAAAGCACTTTTCTGACAAAAGGAGAAGATTTGATGCAAACAAAATTGACTGTTTTGCAGAGAAAGAGAGATTTCAGGTGGCAGCATGCAGAAGTAATGCTTGGCTGTTTATAATAAGACGGAGGGAACACTTTTCTCTTTTGGACACAGTTACAGTGAAAGTTTTGTAACTCTGCATGCCTATTGGTTACATTTCATATTTCTTCTCCTTTGTCGCCTTTTTTTTCTTGTTCTCAAACATTTCCGATTCTCGCGTTTCAATTTTAAAAAAGCAACCAGTAAATACAAAATGCGGTAATAAAATATTATTTATTTTCTTAGAAAGAAAAAGCCAACACTGGGACATGTGAATGAATAATGTGGCTCCAGTCTTTTTAAATGATTATGCAATCATTGACAGCAACAACTATCTTGTAAGATTTGCATGAAGCCACAGAGTCTTTTCCACGAGTTGTGTTGACATTACGGCACACTCCTCTTTGCAAAATCATTTTAATTCAGCCACAGTGGAAGGCTTTTGAGAATTCATATTGGCTGGCACTTTGACTAGGCCACTCCAAAACCTTATCTTTTAGCCACCTCGAGGTATACTATTGGTGAATTTTGGATCTTTGTCCTGATACAAAGTCAAACTGTGCTTAAGGTTAAAGTCTCAACCCTATGGTTGGATATTCTCCTTCTGAAATCTGTGGAGAACAAAATTAATGGTTTTATTATTTACAGCAAGTTGTCACAAAAACATAAAACAGACCAGAAACCTTCCAACAGGTTTCACAGTTTTGGTCAACACTGGCTTTTTAGCTCAGAATCCTCTTACGGAGAGAATAAGAACAAGTGAAAGTGAATTTAATTGAGTGATTGTGAGTCCTGCAGTGCTCGAGATTTTGTCTTTTTTTTTCTGAGTTGTCAATTCTCTCTTGGAGTAAATTTGGTTGGCTAGCAAAACATCAGAAGGTCAAAGTTCATTTTCAAAGTAGTTAACAGGTACTGAAAAAAGTCCCACATACGTTTTATGTTAGGTGACTCAAAGTCATGCCCAACATGGAGTCGGTAAATTATACCTCGATTCATACAAAACGCTCCCAAATCAGACACCGTTAATGTTCTGCTATAATATAAAAACAATATTGTTGAGGACAAAAACTTCTTCGTAGAATTTAAATTTAAAAGTAACTCCTTACTTTTTAACGCAGAATGCCAAGTTCGACGCTGCCAACTTGGCTGAGTTTTGATGAAGGAACAACATCCTCCCTCCTGCTGCAGTCACATCTGCCTCGGCTGCCACTCTGCCCAGTCAGCAGCGGAGAGAAGCAGAGCCTCCTGCAGTTCTTGGGTTACATTACAACTGAATGGACCATGTGAGAAAAGTGTACGGACATTGTGTTCCTGTGAACTTTCTGTGAAGTTGTTTTAATGACCCTGAGCTATTAAAACAAAGATTTGTGAGAAAATGTTGCCTACAGAGACAGAATTACTACACGTTGTTTATACGCAAGGATTAGAGATTAACACAATGCAACTACTTAAGAGGAGAAATTGTCCTAGATTAGATTCAGATTACTCTTTCTGCTACTCTGAAACTGCTTTCTGTGTCAGATTGTAATCTGACCTGCACAGATTAGAAGTATCCCCTTGTGTGAGAATATCTGGATTGCTTGGTCCGACAGTGGGACGTCCCATTGGTCAGAACACTCTTAGCCTCAAAGATAAAGGCCCTTTTGTAGATTGTAAAACAAGGATTAAGTCATTTTACACACTTAATTTTGCAGAAATTCCCAACATTTATTTAGCGAAACAAAACATTACAAAAAAGAAAAAAAAAAAAGCAAGAAACGAAAATGAGTTGACCAATTTGTCTTTGGGAATTGTTGTTAAATACTTATCAGAGGAAGCAGCTTTATGAGAAGGTTCAGCAAGAAAGACGGATGCTTTCTTCAGCACTTGAAACGAGACACTGTGAACCTGCCAGGTCTGATGCTCTCATCGTTCCCAGTACGAGCTCTGAATCTTCCATCTGATCTTTCGCGTTGGGCCAAAGCAGCAGCAGCAGCAGAGTGGAGATAGATAAGCTTTATAACCTCCTAATCACCTAAGGGAGTTGAAAGAAGAGATATCGGGAGATGCCGGGGCTGACGATATGCCCAGAGGCCCCTCAGTGCTGTCATCTTTTATACACTTTTCACGTGAGTCACAGTTATACAGACATGCATGACTGCAGGCTCTTAATGAGCACGGCACCGGTCAAGTCCTGATGGCATTGCATCTAACTCCATACTGAGCACCAGACGGCTCAAGCAGCCAGATGCAGTCAGGCGCTGCAGCTGTCAGCATGCAGAATGCATATTCAGCATACCACGTAGCAAACAGGCGCAACTGGTGAGAATTTACGTCGCCTTGCACTTTTTTTTTTATCAAAATGTACAAGAAACTTGAATTTAACTTGAACATGACGGTTGGTATTGGCACCAAGCAAAGAATGAATGAGTGAACTGGTGAGGACAATGATGAGGAAGAATAAGAGGCTGAAGAGAAGAAAGAGAAGCAGGAGATGAGAGAAAAAAAAAAGGTTACGCAATTAATCAATACATTTCTGCTTTGTGGGCTCTTGCAAAAACGCCTGTTCCTAAAATCAATTCCTCCTCAGGGGCTCAAAAGGAAGAGCAACCTTTTATTCAGTTTTGTTTCATCTTCACACCGTGTTTCTATGGTGCTTTGTAAACATGCAGTATTTGCCTAGAGTTCCCATGAGATACACCAAAGCAGGTGTAAAATCATGTGTGAAAATCATCGCCTCATTCTCCAGTACAGCGTAAAAAATGACAATCTTGCTTCTTTGCGACATTAGAAAAACGAGCCCAAAAATAGACGAGGCATTTTG